ATACATATCTAATGTTTCTGCTGCATCTTTTTTTTTTTCCTCATATAACCACTTAATTTTGGAATCCAAGGACCCTGATGAACATAGTTTTTCTTTTGAAAATTATTCTCATTCTAGCACTGTTTGAAAATTCTTACTATATTATGGTCTTAGCATCAAAGAAATGTAAAATGCTTACTACAAAAGCCTCAGTCAGTTAGCTCTAAATATCTTACATAGTTTCTGGGTGCTTTCTCCTGTAGGCAGCACTCCCAAATTACAAGAGTAGTACGTCTGTAACAGGGTTATTTATGTATTTTGGAATTTTGAAGTGTTCACCAAGTATTTTGTAACAGGCTACTTATTTTGACTCCTTCAGTTTGCTAAGGTCACTACAAAACACGTTTGTTCACTCAGAGTCATTTCTTAATTGCTTCTACTTGGCAATTTTTTATTTTTCTTTGGACAGAGATTGGTCTTGAATTGTCAGCTGCAAATATTTCAATTTAAACTGGAAGTTATAGTAGCTATTTTGGATTCAGCACCACAAGTAATTTGGCTTTTTTGACTTCTCCATAATGACAAAAAAAAATCTCTATGATGGACAATCCTGCAAATATTTTAAATTCAGTCTCTTTGAATATTTTCCAGCTTCTACTTAATAGTTATTGCTGCTGTGACCATCCCCACCAGAGTATTTGCCTAATGGAATATTTTTGAAAGTGAATTCACAAAGGAAACTAACAAAATGAAAGAAGATATATTCTAAAACATGAAGCACTTTCTGAAAATATTTGGCATTTGCCTTTCTATTGCTCTATCCTATATTCTTAAAAATTAGCGTTTAAATATATGTCAGGCTTTAAAACATACAAATGAGCAAAAATCATCAGACAAAATATAAATAGATGTGATTTAATTGAACGATAGCTTTTAATCTTGTTGAAAATTCAGAATAGAGGGCTATTTATAGCGATACATTACTATTTCAGCAGTTTTAAAGAACTGAGTAACATTCTGTGCGTTTCACTCTCACACTAGACCACATTCTCAGACTAGACCACTAGACCACTGTAGAAATGAAGTAATTTTACCTCATCACCCTTCTCTCCAGTAAGCCCAGGGAATCCACGTTCGCCTTTGCTTCCCTATGAAAACATAACATTCAAATATGTTCTATTTGAGAAAAATTAATTTCATGCTCTATAGGGCACACTTAACACATATTAGTATAAAGCCCTTACAGCAACAGTGTCTAAAACAGTAAAAAAAGGCTCAATACTATATGAAAGCTTTAAAACATGTCTCCCACTGAGGTGAAAGAAAATGAGTAGTTTTTACCTAGTAGACTAACTAGCCAAAAGGTCTGATGGAGACATCTCACTAACAACAAAGAGCTTAAATACTTGCCATAATGGAGAAAGTCATGGGATTGGGCTGAACTACAGGAGATATCTGTACGCCAAACCCTGTGGCATTTGATCTGATGAGAGCAAAGAAGAATTTTGACTGACATCAGCAAAACGGCTGCATTGCTCTCAGGGGACCTGTGTGCCAAGGCACCGGGTGGCCCAGCTGCTGCGTGCTTGAGGGAGATGTGGGAAGTTTCCTTCTTTGCCACTGGATTGTTGCATGACTGACTCACCTAAAATAAGCCTATAGATGACAGTGCCCTGCTGGACAGCCAAATCTGAGCTAGCTTTAATGGATGCGACACAGAAGAGCTGTGCATGGGACAAAACCCGTCTGGACGCGTTCCCGTGTGACCTACTGTAGGTGATCCTGCTCTGGCAGGGGGGCTGGACTAGATGATCTTTTGAGGTCCCTTCCAGCCCCTGACATTCTCTGATTCTGTGACTCAACTGGGGCTATTTCACTCACTTTCCTGAGAGGAAAGGCAAACTGGCACAAGATGAGGGCTAAACCATAAGAATGGAAAGGTTTGAACCTTTAGGCCACTCAGATGCTATAAGGGTCAGACAAAAAACTCAAGACTGTCAAAGGCAAAAGCAACAAAGCAATGTATTCTCTTCAATACTTACCTTTGGCCCTTCTCTCCCAGGGATGCCTGGGGGACCTCTTGTGCCAGGATCACCCTGAGCAACAAACAGAAAACAAAAGCGACCAATAACCATTTTTGTGACATAGGCAGGACAACCTATGCAGATCGCTTCCTTCCTGCCTTCGTGATCTTCCCTGCATCTTACCCCAAGGCCCGCTCTTCATTCCTTTCTCTCTTCCACACAATATAGTTTCTCAGATACTCTTCCTTGTTTCCCTCCCCATCTCTCACATGCTCTACTCAAACTCTGCTAACAAATTCTTAGCATCGTTTTGAGAGGACACATAAAGGCCTTCATTTTGGATAGTTCCAGACACACGTATTTTAAAGTAAATGATTCCTGCTTTGTTGAGAGAACCATTTTCCAGCTATATTACAGTCTTATAGAAGGGCTAACCACAAAACATACAGAAATGAAGAGTGAAGCACTAAAGAATCAGTAAGCTAGAAAACTAAAGAAGAGGTAGAGGAGCATGAACAAGAGAAAGACACTACAATTACAAAAAGAAAGAAACAGGGAAAGGCCCAAAGACAGACTGAAAAGAAAATAAATTTGGGAATAAGAAAGTCAATAAACCCAAGCACGAGTATTAATAAGGAAAGTAGAAGAAGGTATTCTCCCTCCTCAGAGATGATGTGTTGTTCTCATATTGTAATCCTCCTGAGTACACTTTTAATTTTGGAATATGCCAGATCACCTTAAATTTTATTGTTTTTCAAAATAATACCTTAGAAATTCTAGACTATTTTTTCCACTTGGTATATTACCAATATAAATGCTACAAAGTAAGCAAAGAATGGGGTATACCTGTAGCAAATCATACTGTGGACTGCATGTGCTGAACAGGCACTTGCTGGCTGCTACCTCACATATTGCTCAAATGCTATTTATCAAAATTCCTATCAAATACATTTCCTGAGTATTTTTTAAAAATGAAACTAAAACCAACAAAAATTTCAAAATTATTTTACGTTAGCCAAATAGGTCAAAATTGGACCTGCAGAAACTTTCAGGTCCATAGTTTGGCTTAAAAAGCATGCTTACAGTAAACAAATATTTAACTTCTGAAAATGTTTACCTTGAGTACAGCACCCATGTCTCCCACAAGTGGCAGTGCAATCTGAAATTAAAAAAAGCAGCTGCAGTTAATGTTTTGCACAATGCTACAGATTCGGATGGCTTCTTACTGCTATTAAAATTTTTATCTTTACACACATAGCCGATATATATATGCTGAAGGTATTTTTTTAATGAAAACTCAAAAGAACAATCAGATTGTTAATTACAGTTAAGTATTAATGTCTATCCAACCTAACAATGTAATTCTTCATTACAATTTCAATGAAGTTCCTTAAATCATGACAAGAACATAAGTCCAGAACATACAAAACTTAACTTAAAAAACCCAATATATTGTTGTTTTTGTAGCATACCAGCATCAACTTAACTGCTATTGGAAATTCTTACAGACTATTCTCACCTGATTATCTTCAATTATTTTCCTTTTGTTTTCTCCTAAGCTTTGACTTTACTGTGACCTGTAGCATGAATTGTGGAGATGCCAAAGCTAGCTCAGGTATTGGAAATAAACCAGCTACAGCAACATAAGCCACATATGTAGTGTTTTGTCCTACCTTTAAATTAAGAATTACTGCAAAACTCTGTGGTGCCACAGCTAAACTGCCATCAATACGAAAGCTAACCCATTTAAATATCAATCAATAGGTTTACACTGTACTGCAATATATCTCATATTCCCAAGTGCTGCCATTAGAACTTATGTTTTAAAGACTCCCTGTAAAAACTGATTGCACTAGCTACCATCAGCTTCACTCACAGACAGACTTCAATTACCAGTGCTAACTTCTCCTTCTTGGAATTGCTGAAGTCAAAATAGCCCCGGGCATATCACAAAATTAGACACATTCAAAATTTATTACTGCTTTTGTTTGATCTCTTTCAATCATTTTCATCTTGAAGAAGAAAAATAAAATGCAAGCACTTTTGTAGCATATTAGAAAAACTGACGCTTGGTGGCAATGGGTGTCAAAGACCAATTCAAGAGAAGCACTGCTGAACGTACTTACCTATACTATTACCTATAAGGATAATCAGGAGTATATCATTTACAGGGAAGCCTCATCCCCTTTGAAAGCATGCTGAGAAGTTTTCTAAGGTGAGACATAGCCACCTAACACAATTTAAGAACTTAACTATGTAAGGTATGAAGTCCATAGCACATAGACAGTGTCACCCACTCTTAAAAACCTGTAAGAAGTCTTAAAAACATCAACCAATCCCTACATGGTCTGACATTCCATCCTTCTTGTGACAACATTTTAGAGACAGGCAGGCTATTACCATGTTACTTGGACTACAGAAGCGTAGTTTCCTCAGTCTTTCCTCTTTTCTCATATTTAGCTGCAATGTCATTTACAAGGTCCTCAAACCCTTGGTGTGAAGGGGTCCTAACATCCAGTTGCAAGGGCACGCCAGGTATGAGAGCAAGGCTACTGCATTTGTGCCACACAGTTCGCCCTCTCTGCACGTACAGCAGGTCCAGCCTGACTGCAGGCGTCCTGCAGGGTCACAGCTCTGTGTGCTGGACTCTGAGTTCAAAGTGTATGATATATACTGGGCTTTTGAAAATGTTAAAGTGGCCTTAAATCTCTGGACTCACTCCTGCTTGTTACCTCTTCCTTTAAAAGCTTCTCGCCAAAGAGTATTTCAAGAGAGTAAAAGGCATTATTTGCCTGTTAGTAAGTTTACTATTTGGAGCTGTCTGTTTAACAGTAGCATCCGATTTTTTACCTACATATAGTTTACAGTGCACCGCGCCTTCCAGACCTATTCTACGTAGGGATTTTTTTTTTCTTATTAAGCACCTTATGTTCATCTGTCTCAAATTTAATCCCAGTAACTCCAGATTGAATTTTAAGTTTGATTTTATCTTCAAAACACTGCCTAGCTTTCCCAGTCCAGTTGCAGAGTTTATATATACTTCTCTCCTAGCCAATCTTCGACAAGAACCAGGCATGGGAGAGATCACTCTTTCAGTAAAGAAATTCTTCCTAATATCCGAATATCCCCTGGTGCAATGTCCTTTCAGGTAGTCATAGAGAGTGATAAGGTCTTCCTTCAGCGTCCTTTTCTTCAGGCTAAACAATCCCATTCCCTCCACTGCTCTCATAAGACTTTTCTCCAGACACTTCACCAGCTTTGCTGCCCTTCTCTGGATCGTCTCCAACAGCTCAATGTCTTTCTTATAATGTGGTGCTGAAAACACAGTACTCAAGGTGTGGCCTCTCTGGTGTCAAGTACGGGGGCACAATCACTTCCCTGCTCCTACTGGCCACACCATTCCTGATACAGGCCAGGACACCATTGGCCTTCTTGGCCACCTGGGCACACTGCTGGCTCATGTTCAGCCAGCTGTCCACCAAGTGTGCCTTTGACTAAAATCTTTTGGAAAATACCAAATCCTATAAAAACAATAGGATCACAGGTGAGTTTAGCCATTTTTTTAAGCTCTAGTTTTGGTTTGTTTCTTCCAACAACCTAGAGTTCTTTATTTATTTTATTTAATTTATATTATATTTCCCCTCAGGGAATTCAGAAAGCCTCACCTACTGCCATAAAAGCCTTTGTAAGCATTTGTTTCTAAAGAGAAATTTGCTTTTTGAAAATTCTGAGGTAGCTGTTGGGACTCCAGACAGGAGCAGGAATAAAAACTGAAGTTTCGTCTTCATGCCAATTTTGCCAACTTGCGCACTAGACCCTCTTGACTCCCATGTAAAAGAATCAATTAACTTTAAGGGTAAAGTTTGATCTAGGTATGTGCAGCCTTTTTGTTTTCAAACCCAGAAATTTAACTTTTCATTAGTGCTAAAGGGAATTTATTGCATCAGAGACTAACTGTTTTCAGCATTTCATTAAGAATGAATGTCTTCTTTCTGTGGCATAACAAAACTAGCTGGAATCCCCAAGCTTTTGTGTTCAATCTTTTAACAAGAATTATCAAAGTATGCTCCTGAAAATCTGCATTATAAAGAACTGTTTCTGAGACTGAGGAATACTGTGCCAAAGCTAGAGCCTGTCACAAACTCTAGTATACGAACTGTAATATCAGAAAACAAGGTATCTATCCTGTATACATTAAGTTCAATTTATACTGCAATATAATTAAGTAAAAAAACGCCAAATCCACAGGATAAAATAAATGAAAAATCAAATTAATTTTACTAATTGCATTTCTAGACTTGCTAGTTTACCTCACCTCCTTTAAATATAAAATACTTGCACCAAAACAAATCCACACGCTTTCTATGTATACGCACAGGATCTCCTGGAGGGCCTGGTAGTCCTGGCTTTCCATCTCTTCCTGGAGCACCCTAGTAACAAATGTAAAATTTGATGGCCTTAAATCGCTGATGAGGAAAACATTACTTTTTGCCATGTATATAGAGAACTGTCACTTACATTGATACCGGGGGTACCTGGAGTTCCTGGTAATCCTGGGGGTCCCCTAGGACCCTAAGAGCAGGAAAGGTCATTTAGGATTTAACAGTATTTTTCTTTTACTGTAAACTTCTTAACTAAATTAATGGAGTTTTTTATATTAATGAGAAAACTTATACCCTACCTGCACACCTGTTGATCCAGCTGGACCCATAGGACCCTACAAGAAAACTCCAAATAATCAGTAGTTACACTTCTGGGGATAAAGGAGGTGAACTTCATAAAAAAATACTCATGTGGGATATTGGTGCAGTTCACATTGCAAGAAAAACTTGCTGAAAGGTTTGGCTTTAAATCCAAATCTAATTTGCCAAAATTAGAGAATGCAAGATTTTTAAGGGCAAATAATACCAAAGAATAAGAATCTGTGCTGCAACGTGCTATTTAGCTAGGAGATTCACAAGAAAAGTCAATATCAAGTTGGTCAAAACCAATTATTTAAATATAAATGGGTAGTTTTTAAAATTCAGATTTGAAAATATTTTAACTGAATACACTATTTTTTAAAGATTGTTATTTTAGATTAAGATCTGGGTGTGAATCTCTAGTTGCTTAGACTACATCAATATCTACACCACTAATTTTTTAACTGAATACTCTGAAGACACTGCAGATGGCTTTATTTAAAGGCAGCAGAAACAAACAAACCTGGGAAACAAGCCGAATAACTGAAACAGTTATTGCTCTACAAGTTATTTAGTATGAATGCTCTAGACAAGCCACATCAACTTGCTTCACCTTTGATTTAAACTGCACAAAAATGTGCGAAGCTGTGCAAAATCAGGGCTTTTCTATTTCCCAGTATAGTACCTGGCACCGTGAGGTTCTCATTTATAAGCAGTAGACATAAGCTTTTAATTTGCAGTCATCACACACGCAAAAGCTAGGAGCAGATGCCAAGCCTTCCAGCTCTCTTCCAGGTGTCTTTCCCTTTTCTAGTACCAGCATGGACTTCAAAATGCCTTCATTTACAAGATTGAGCACACCTCTTCTTTCGTACCAGCACTCAGGCTGGATTTAGCTGACAACTGCAAACTACTGTTGCTTAGAAATAAAGTTTGCCTGAGGATGCCTCAGCATCATCGCTAGAAAGCTCATCTCTAAAGCAGCCATTGACTCTTTCCATCCTCCAGGGCTTCCGTTTCTCACTTAGCACTTGATATTTCTGGGTCTGGATAAAGGGAGAAGATGCTGAACTAGGAGTGGAGTCCGAAGGGAGTCCATGGCAAGGCTTTTTACTATGCCTTGGTTACTTGCTGCAGTTTCTCAGCGATGCACAGTGCGATGCTCAAATTCTGGGCATTGGTATACTTACTGGTGATCCCTGAATGCCTATTCCTGGGGGACCCATCTCCCCAGGTGCTCCTTGTACACCAGGTAGTCCTCTTTCTCCCTGAGAAGGGTACAAGGCCTTCAGTTACAACAGGTCTGGAAATGTGAACTAGTACATTATCTTTTTTTTTTTTTTTTTTAACTACAAACAGAAATAATATATTCTTATACCTTTGGTCCTCGTGGACCTGGGTTTCCAGGAATACCAGTGGGACCCTAAAAAAATACAAAAATAAACCAAGGAAAAATACAAATTATGTTTTGAAATCAAAGAGACTACCTGAATTTTATTGCCCAAATTAGTCACCTTTATAAAAATAACAATGACAGATTTACGTATGTCTTGCTTGTTAATAGCACTGTCACTAGGGCTGTTTTTGAGCCTGGCACTATTTCTAGACTATATTTTAGTGCACTTGCAATACCACTTTAATATATATTTCAATTTTGAAATTACATAAAAAACTGAACTTTTTCTGATTTATTTAACTGCACAATGAGAATTCTTTAACAGTTGTCTCTATAAGATATAAAGTCATAAAAGCCTTTTCAGATTATGGGCTTACAGGTGTTCCAGGCAGACTTCGTCCAGGAGGGCCCACATCACCTTTTGGACCTGGGTGTCCAGGTGGTCCCATAATCCCACCAGGGTCTCCCTGCAAGACAAATTTGAATCACTAGTTGAAGTGTAAGAGTTTTCCCTTATGAAAAAATCTAAATATTATCAGGTTATCCTAGAACATGCCAGGACTTTGGTAAGAAATAGAGAAATAAAAAACATCCATGTTTTCCTTCAAAAAGTTACAGAAGAAGAGGAGGCATGGACCACACAACCAATAACAGTAACTAGCATTCTCTTGGTTTTCCATGCTTGCAATGCATCTGATCCTACATTTCTTTGTCCCTTGGTCCCTAATATGCAGGTTGTCATTAATTATCAGATTAAAACTGTCTCTCTCCAGCTATCTATCCCTAGTGCTATAACCCTGGTCTTCACTGTATTCCTCTTTATGCCTCTATTTCTTACTTCGATGCATGCAGCATCTCCTGCTCCACATCTTTACAATTCTCCCACTTACACAAGTGAATTTATGCCTTTATTATGCTGTCCTCTTGTCTTTTACACACTCACGAATCATTCTTTGTGATTCTTTCTGAATCCACTACTTCCCATTTTGCAAGACAAGTAAGTTTTTGTCATTGTTCCACAACTATTTTCTTCTCTTGCTCTTCTATCAGCTCACTTTTTCAAACTAGTAATGGATTTTATCAGTTTCCCTTGTACCCCACAATGCATAAATACCATAACACATCACACAGCTCACAGTATGCCTGTATATTCTCTTTTCCACCCTTTTCTACATTCAACATATACACATATAAAATTTTTAACTCTTGTTGATGTAGCTGAATTCTAGCTAAAGGATTTCTACACAGCAAAACAGAATTCCATAAAGAGAACCCAGCCTTGGCTTGCATCTGAGACAGTATAGCTGCCCCAGAGCATTGCCAAGATGAGTATGTCTGAGTTGGAAGCAGGTTTTCACACATTAGTCTGGTTAGGATGCTCCACTGAGCTGTTCTGTGGTCAGGACCTGAACCGACATTTCTGCATTGCACACATTTAATGCAAGAGACCAGTGCAACCTCTTTGAAATATTACAGCAGTGAGGTTACCAAATCGGCCTGCAGCATCTCTGAGGAGCAGAGAGGGGGTTGCTGTTTGTACATTTTGTAACTGATTCATGAAGGAGCCACACAGATGCACCACAGAATGTTGGAAGGTTACTTCAGAGATGACAGTCTAATGTGCTCTAACACATCAAGCTTAATTAAAAGCACTTAAAACATACCTTGTCGCCTTTAACTCCTGGGCTTCCTGGTACGCCCTGCTCTCCTGGTAAGCCCTGCAATTAATAAAAATAAACCTGTAAATTTTTATAACTATTCCTTTAAGGAATATCTAAAATTACAGTAAAAATGAGCTTACACTGGATTATTTACTGTGCATTAGTACTGACCCAAAATGTTAAAGAGTGTAACTTTATATATGCTTTTAAAATCAGATATATAGATCATTTTTCTTTAAGTTGAAATGTCATAATCAAGATTATTTTTTGATCCTAAAAATGCAGAATGACAGAGACTGACAGGTTTATTTCTTCAACTTTAAAATAATTTCAGTCTTGCAAATCAATAATTTTTCAAGGAAGGCAGTAGCAGGTACAAACTTGAGCTTTAAATAAGTGTCTCATCTCTTTTGCCTATGAAGGGCTGCCTGATACACTACACTAGTTAACTATTCAAATTTGTATCTTAAGAACCTCAATGAATTCCTACTCCTGCACATAATTTAATTGACCAAGTTCCTTTAAAACGTCTTAGATATTTCACAGAATCACAGAATGTCAGGGGTTGGAAGGGACCTCAAAAGATCATCTAGTCCAGCCCCCCTGCCAGAGCAGGATCACCTACAGTAGGTCACACAGGAATGCGTCCAGGCAGTTTTTGAACGTCTGCGGAGAAGGAGTCTCCACAACCTCCCTGGGCAGCCTGTGCCAGTGCTCTGTCACCCTCACAGGGAAAAAGTTTTTCCTAAAGTTTTTGTGGAACCTCCTATGCTCCAACTTGCATCCGTTGCTCCTTTTCCTATCACTGGACATCACTGAAAAGAGCCT